TGGCTCTCACCAGGGTCAAGATGTGGCTGTAGAGTTTGAGGGTGATGAGGAAAATGCAGAGGATCAGCAAACAATGAAAAGTGTTGGGATGTCAGTCCAGGTCCACATCGGGCTCTCTGTATAAAGGCATTATTGTCAGCTGCCTGAATGTCTGATCATTTGCTCCATTATTTATACCAAATTTTGGGGCTTTTGACCCCCCCCTTTCAATCCTTATCAGCTGCCACCAGATCTGTCAGTGACATCATTTACCCTAGGGTTAAAACGTCTGGTCTGGTGATCCCAACCTGATCTTTTCGCCTTTCCCCTTATTGGGGCGAGGAGGGCCATGCTGGAGGGCTCTGTTAGGCAAGCCTGGTGAGACTGCAGGTTTCAAACTGGAGTTTTTAAAATGGAGTTGCTTAGGCTCAGGCCTAAGGCCATCCTTACAGGCACAGGGTTCAATTCTCATCACCATATAAAAATAAAATTTTTAAAAAAGGTTCATCAACAATTAAAAAATATATTTTTAAAAAATAAATAAATAAAATATTTAAAAGGACTTGGGATGTGCTCAGGGTTACGTACCCCTGGGTTCAATCCCTGGTACAAATATGTGTGTGTGTGTGTGTGTGTATATATATAATTATTATTAAAGAGTCAGGTGCATTGATGAATGCCTACAATCCCAGCTACTTAGGAGGCTGAGGCAGGAGGATGGCAAATTATAGACCTACCCTGCTTATTTTGCAAGATCATATCTCAAAATAAAAAATAAAAAATGGGCTGGGGATATAGTTCCATAGTAGAGCATTCCCTGGATCAGTCTCTAGTACCACAAAATAACAACAACAAAATAATAATAAATGATAGTAAATTAATTAGGAAAAAAGAGTCATAGTGAATGAAATAGGAATCCATACAGATATAATTAAATAAATAAATATGGGAGAAAAGAAAGTGCTGTCTTACAATAGAATGTGAACTAATATAATAAGTACAAAATACTTATTAGTTATCTCAAGGGAGATGTCCTGCCAACATTATCTTACAGGTGATGTAAATAAATACACAGATAGAAATCTTAGTTAATATTACCAGTAATGAGATAAATCGACATTACATGCATTCTGATACAATGTAGTAGACCTACAAAAGATAAGTGACCTGACCCAAATCATAAGGAAACAATATTCAAGCCCATATTGTCCTGTGAATTATCAACATAAAAAACAAGGAAAGACTGAGAACTGTTGCATATAGGACCTGACAACCCAAGGCAACACCTAATCCTTGATGGGTTATTTTGTTTTGTTTTTTTTGGTACCAGGGATTGAACCCAGGGGCGCTTAACCACCAAGTCACATCCCCAGCCCTTTTTATGTTTTATTTTGAGACAGGGTCTTGGTTAGTTGCTTAGTGTCTCCATACATTGCTAAGGCTGGCTTTGAATTTATGATCCTCCTGCCTCAGCTTCTTGAGTCACTGGGATTACAGATGTGCATCACTACAGCCTTAATAGGATCATAGCCCTAAAATAAGATTATTAGGGCAACTGATGAATTTATTTGAAGAGCATTGCTGGATTAGATGGTAGTATTATATCAATTTCTTGATTTCCAGTAACTACAATGAAAAAGGACATTGCAGAATGCCCTTGTTTTCAGCAAACACTTAAAATACTAAAAGAGCAATGAAGCAGGGCTACAAGTTACTCCCAAATGCTTCAGAATATGTAACAAGATAAAAATTAATGTCAGATTTAACAACTAAAGGATCTTGCTTGAATTAAAGGATTTCAGAGATCTTTGTATCATTCTTGTAACTTTTCTGTAAGTTTGAAATTAAAGTACAAAATTAAAATATAAATACCTAGGCAAAATGATAAAAAAAAATGCAGAATTTTATGGGGAAAACTTTGAAATGCTCTAATAAAGTATATAAGCACACAAATGAAAAAATGTTTTATTGAATAAGTATATTCACCATAAAGATGGCTATTTATTTTGAATTAACTTAGAGATTTAAAACAATTCCAATTAAATCTATTAGTTACAAATAAGTTTAATTCGAAAACATAACAAGCTGGTATAAAATTTGTATGGAAAATAAATTTTAAAAGCCAGGGAAATTCAGAAAAAACAGGTAGCCAGAAAGCAGTAACTCTATCAGATATTAATGGGTACTATAAAACCTAAATTATGAAAATATTGGGAATTCTGTTTAAGTAGAGAGGCCATTGAAACAGAAAAGCATGTCCAAAGAAAAGATTCAAGTACAAAGGGGAATTTTGTATAAGATAAAGATGGTGTCTCATGACAGTCGAGAAAAAAAAGATGGATTTTTCAATAAAATTATGTTGGGACACCTAGCTGGCCAACTAGAACCAAAGTTAAAACCAAACCTCACATTATACAATCAGAGTATATTCTCAATGGGTTTAAGATTTAAAAGTCAAAAATGAAGTTATAAAAAGTACCAAAAGGAAAGAGTGAATTCCTTTATAATACCAGAGTGGGAAAGTCTCCTAAAGCTATAAATGAAGTAACTGATACTTTCGACTACAAAAGGAGGGAACATATCTGCATGTAAAAAAATTAACAGCATATATAGTCAAGAGAGAAATAACAAATTGGGAAAAATTATTTGTACCTCATATCACAGCAAGGGCTAATCTCTTAACATTGAAAAAAGCTCCTGGAATTTGGTAAGAAAAAGACCAAAGGATAAACAATTAGTTCACTGAAATAGAAATAGAAATGATCTTAAATATATGAGAATTGAGAATTAAAGCTACCCCATGACACCATTTCCCAAATGGAAAACAGGTGGCTAAAATCCAAAAATTTGACAAGTACAATTGGTGAGGCATGGGAAACTAGGTTCCCTCAGGTATTTCTAGTAGAACTTCATGTTATAAACTTTAGGAGAAATAATTCGGCAACATCTACTGAAATTACAAAATCACTTACCTGTGACCCAATAATGCTTCTGGGAAATTTATGTTCACAGATATCTAAACAAGTGTATTCATGATAACATTTTTGTAAAAGCAGAAGATTAGAAGCAAGTCAAGTACCCATCATTAAGAACTGGCTAAGATATCTAGATGTGGTTGTACATGCCTATAACTCCAGCTACTTGGGAGACTGAAGCAGAAAGATCACAAGTTCTTGGTCAGCCTGGCTAGTTTAGCAAGACCCTGTCTCAAAATAAAAATTAAAAGAAAAAAAAAGGATAGGATGTAGCTCAGTGGCAGAGTGCTTGCCTAGCATGCATGAGGCCCTGGGTTCAAACACAACACACACACATACACACAGTCCAAGAAAAAAAAAGTATCAGTTAGATTATGGCACAGTTATATAAGAAAACATTATATGCACATGAATAAACCTTTGACTATTACCGAAAAATCTGCATGAATATTTCTATTATAAGCAAGGTGCAAGATTAGTGAATGCACCTGGATATGCCACACTATGCTTTTGTGAAGTGTGCAAAAAGAAGAGAAATAAGAATATATATTCCTATTTATTTGCATTTGCATGAGAACTTTAGAAGGAAGTTCTAAACAAAGTAAAAGCCATTTTCTATGATAAGGAAAAGAAACACCCAGGGGCAAGGACAGGAATGAGAGTTTATGCTGCATGCCTTTTATATTAATTTGACTTTTTAACCATATCAACATATTGCCTGATCAAAAATAGTAACATTTAATATAACAAATATTTAAATAAAAAGTCAGAAGTCTGCGATTGTTTACCTTGAAACGCCTTGAATCCACTTTCCCTGCTGCTCCTGTCTTTTGTAGATCACACGACTGGTCCTTCACTCATCCAGGTTCCCTCAAGCCCCCTGAATCATGGCAACTGTGCTTTGAACCACGCCACGAAATTCATTCCCCTCTGACTGATTTCTCAGGTTCAGAGCAGAGTACAGCTGACAGGGCCATGGCCTTTGAAGGGAAAAGACCAAAACGTGCCCAGTTCAAGTCACAGCCTTCTGTCACACATTTCTGTTGAACTGCACTCCAAGCATTTATCACTCTGGTAATTACTTTCTTCATTGCTCAGGAAAAAAAAAAATCATAATTTTTCATGATCATCAAAGCTGGAATTTGGCAAGAAAAAGACCAAAGTATAAACAATTAGTTCACTGAAATAGAAATACAAATGATCTTAATTAATCAATAGACTTATGTGCCAAGAACTGTGTTTTATATAAGTAATAAGGTTAAATATTCACAAATAACTTATTTACTATTATTATTTCTTTTTTAAATATCAGGATACTGAGATCCAGAGAGAGTAAGTAACTTGCACAGAGTCACACAGCCAAGTGCTGGGGGCAGAACTTACTTCTTTAACTGTTACACCCTACCACCTGGGATTGTGTTGTGACAGGAAATACCGTACCTTTAGCTTCATTATTTCAAATGTTTGAACAATTTATCTAATTCATAAAGAAATTTACTATGGAAGGCATTAGAGTAGTGTAATTGAGACAGAAAAGACACATAAGAAATATAGTGCCCAAGACTGGAAAAAAGGGAAACAATTATAATGTATACTTATTCTTTTCTTTACATAAGCTTGATCATAAAATAATTCTTATTCGTGTATTCACATATTCAGCAAGCATTTATCATCCTTAGCACCATGCCAGACACAGTGGTGAAAACAAAAACACATAGATCCAAGATATGATTTTATATTCTAGTTGAAGATGTCATATGACACTAAATTTAAGACTTTGGAAATATAGAAGCTCCTTGACTTACAATGGGATTATGTCCCAATATATCACCAGAAACTGAAAACACAGTATGTTGGCCTGGGGAGGGGGGATCAGGTAGCTCAGTGGTAGTAAGCCTGATTGTCCTGCATGATGCCCTGGGTTCAATCTCTAGCACCATAAAAGAGAGAGGGAAAGACGGAAGGAGGAAGGAAAAAAAGAGGGAAAGAGAGGGGAGGGATAGGGAGAGAGAAGAAAAGGTAAGGAAGAAGGAGGAAGGCAGGCTGGCTAGGGATGTAGCTCAGTGGTAGAGCACTTGCCTAGCATGCACAAGGCCCTGGGTTCGATCCCCAGCCTTGGGGGACAAGAGAGTTGGGTAGAAAGAAATATATGTTGAAAATACTTTGAATATTCCTCAACTACCAAACATCAGAGCTTATCAGCACAATATACTGTGTAGTGTTAGCTGTTTCTCCTTGAGATTTCATGGCTGACTGGGACTTGGGATTGGCTGTATTTACCCAGCATTGTGAAAGAATACAATACTGCATGTTGCTAACCTGGGGAAAGGTTACAAAACCTCACAAAAGCACCACTCTATAGACCAACCCTTCAATCACAATGGAATTTGGGGGACATAATTAAATCATATCCAAACTATAGCAACATATTATCATGAAATATTAAAACAGTGGGGACAATGGCAAAGTCATACAAGTTTCCAGAAGTTAGAAATAAAAAATACTAGGTCATAGGCAAAAGATAAAGATGCTAAAAGACAATGGAGGCCACTGAATCCAGAATTCTGAAGGAAAATCATTTCCAACTTAGAACTCTATACCCTGCCAAACTGTTGATTCTATGTGTAGGTTGACTAAAGTCTTTTTCAGATATGCATGATCTCAAAAGTCTACTCCTGTGTTCCCCGTTTCAAGAAGCTACTTGAGATGGTATTTCTCCAGGGCAAGAGCATAAATCATGAAAGAAGAAAACATGGGATCCAGGAAACAGATATAACTCAACAGAGAAACAAAGAGAATTCCCTAAGATAAAAATGAACGAGGAACAGAGACTGTCAATTATGGACCTGCACAGATTAGAGCAGTCCCAATGACTCAAAGGAAATGAAACTGATGAATCCTTATTTTTAATTTTTTTTTTTGTTTTAATTCATTATATGTGACAGTAGGATGCATTTATGTACTTTGATATATTATACACAGATGGGGTATAATTTCTCATTTTTCTGATTGTACATGTTATAGAATCACATTGGTATAAGGTGGGAGATGGCGGGGGGTGGGCACTAGGGAAGAATCCCCGTGTTTTGAGTGGATTGAAAAAATGTTTCCACAATTTGAAGAGAATTTGACATTAACTTAACTGGAGCCCAGAAAATAACAAAGCAAAGGAAGCAAAACATTTATTAAAGTGAGGAGAAACTAAAAGTTTGAGCAACAAAAGAAAAGCAAATATCACACAACAAATGGTACAAAGTAAAATCGCTTTATATAGATAAAATGATGCAACATTGTTGATCCGACCAGAGTTTCATTCAATGTAACTATGATGAAAGGATGAATGGAGGTGAACTGAGTCGATGTACTAAGGATGAGAGTGGGAAAAAAAATTAAATCTTCATTTTCCAAAAAGGAAAGGTAATAGGTCATGCCTTAAAACAAAAAAAACAAACAAAACAAAAAACCCAAGAAGTATCCACATAAGCATACTACTTGGAGATGCAGTTTTATATACCAAAACCAACAACAGCAAGATGAAGTTTAAAATATCCAGGAGACTCCGAGAGTCTTGGTCTGGCATCCTTGAGGCCTGCTTTTTTTTTAATGCAGTAATCCTAGTGTCACTATCTGACTCTTTAATGTTCATGTATAATTGATAAAAATTAAAACTAAAATTTAAAAATAAGAAAATTAGTATATGTGCGTGTTTGTGCATGTGTGTGACTTAGGTAGGTCATAGGGAGTATTTCAATTTTTTTCTGTGAAATGAGTTTTAAGAAACACTATAAAAGAGATTGAATATTCTTCTTGATTACCTTGATATTTGTTAATCAACTCATTATGTAAAAAAACCACACTTTCTTGACAAAAAAATATTAAAATAGTACAAGCGCCCTCAAAAGGGAAAATTTAGAGGATGAAACAAGACACACATTGAGCTCAGGAAAGCAGAGGCAGCTGAGAAGAACCAAAGTAAATTGAGACAGCTTCCTGCACACTGCTGAATAGGGCGTCCGATTACAAAGAGGGAAAACCTAAAGGTCTATGGAATAATAGAGCACAGCCAGAGGAAATTTAAAGAGAAAGGAGGGAAGAAAAAAAAAAAAAACTTGAGGGAATAATGGCAACCAATGCCAGAAGCATGTCCCCTCACAGAGGGGTCAAGTTACAGAATTTTCCTGACTTAAGAACTGGAAGTAGATTTTCCCACTTTCAGGAACAGTGAATCATATTAGAACACATTGTACAGTCCGTCTGACCAAACATTTGTCAAACATTGAGTAATCTTTACTTTAAACCCTTAAGAAATTTGGATTCTGCCACAAAACAATCTGAAGAATAAATTGTCCAAAAAAAAAAAAAGGCAAAAAAATTAACCTGTTGTTCTCTCTCATATTTCTCAAATGTAACAAGGATCCTACTAGTCTATATGGTAGATCATACAACTGCCATTAATGGTCTATTGGAGTGTATCTTTATTTCATAGTCTCCTGCTATTGTAACTTGAGCTAGAATGATTCAGCACTGGGACCATTCCGTATAGAAAGTCAGCTGAATTTAGGTTTCAGTATTTGGTTAGTGGATTGGTGAGGATCTTATCTTTTGACTTTCTTGTCATCCATGCTTTGGCTTTTCTAGTATTTGTTAACACCTCATTAGGGTGTTAGAAGAGAAAAGGGGGCAGATACATTTAATAATTTATTTTTCTAAGAAGACCACTATCACATATTGTCTCTAATTAGATTTGAAGACTACTTCTAGGCTCTACTTCTTTGAACTCTACCGACTCTTCATGTTTTAAGAATTCCTCCTTAGGCAACAAATTGAATGATAACACTGTGTGTGTGTGTGGGGGGGTGAGTGTGTGTATGTGTGTGTTTTAACTTTATACTGAGAGTTCCAGAGTCAACCCAGAAGTTGGAACTCACAACTTTAGGCATTAGTGGGGTAGCAGGAAGATGTCATTGGAATTTTATTTGTACAAAGCCTCAAAGATTTCTTATAAACAATCTCTAGAAAGTTGGGTTAATAGTTGGGCCCCACATCTCCATATCCAAAAGGCAACCAGAAAATAATGGCTTCTCCTTGACTGAGGAGGAGGTGTATACGTGGAGAAGTTTCCCTGAAGAGAATGTCAGAGCAAACTATCTCAGCTTACCAGGGGCTGAAGGATCTTTTAAGGCCTCTCTGGAAAATGACCAGTCCAGAGGGTGTAAGGTCCTAGGAACAATTAAAATGAAACAGGCACCAGGGGGCGCTGCTGGCCTCAGCTGATCTCTGGAGTCCCCTCAAAAGGTATCCTTTTCTCTAATTCTGCAGATTTAGGGTGGAAGATGTGGACAAGCGAGAAGATGTCAGGGTGGTTAATGTCTCCTGGCAGAGAGAAAAGATGGAAGGCATCAGGAGTCATCTTTCCTGATGGCTGCTGCTGTAGCCTGAGGAAACAGAGGCTGGGTGTAGTCATGCTTCTGTCTGGGAAAGTTGAGGAAACCCAAGAGTGAATAAACATGCTTCCTGTTTTCAAAGAGCTTCTAGCCTACCACCATTAGTTTTACTAAAATTATATTTTTTCCAATAAATACTTTACATACCACATACCAAAATCACTTCCAGATGGATTAGAGAGCATATGTAAAACTGGAAGAAAACAGAATTGAGAAGTTATTATAAATTTGGAGAGAAAGAATTTCTAAGCAAAAAGCAGTGGAAAACTGTACAAGAGACTGCCAGATTTAATTACAAAAGAAGATATAACCTGAATATTAAAATATGAATAAAGTACAGACAAGAGACTGAGAAAAATACTTGGTTAAAATGTAACAACAGGTCCATGTTTTTATTATACAAAGAATACATACAAATAAAAATGAAGAAATTAATTATGCTCTAAAAGAGAAGGGGACAAAAATATTGAAAAGTAAATTCATAGCAAGGAAAATGCATTTAGGAGACAAACATGGAAAACAGGAAGATGTCATCCCAAAAGTACTTGAAAACTTGCACATTAAAAATAAGGGGCTCTTGAAAAAACACAAATACATGCACAAAATTCTTGATGCTAATTAAGGTGTAGTAAAGCTGGATCTTCCATACATGGTTAGTAACAATGTAGATTACTACAACTTTTGGGAAAGAACTGCAGTCTGGCAGTCTGTCAAGAACCTGAAAAATGTTTATGTTCACTGACTCAGTAATTATGCTTCTGAATATCCATCCTGTGAAACACTACCCAGTAAACGTTTTAATTGATGAAACAGTCACCAAGAGCTGTTTATTCTGGAAAAAAAAAGAAAAGAAAAATGCCCCAAAATATTAAATCAATTAGAACAATCGATTCAAAATGTTATGATGATTATGATAGCATAGAAATGGCTACTTTACAATGCTAAATGAATGGGGCAGAGTACAGAATCATCTATTCAGTGTGATTACAATTTGAAATTCAATAAATTTTTCTTTAAACATCCATAGAGGGCTGAGAACAGGTAGAGCACTTACCTAATATGTACAAGGTCCCTGGGTTCCATCCCTGAACCACAAAAGGAAAAGGGGGAGGAGAGAGAGAGAGAGAGAGAGAGAGAGAGAGAGAGAGAGAGAGAGAGAGAAAAGAATGAAAACAAAGTTTTGTTTGTTTGAAATTATCTGAGGAACTGTGAATATCTCTTTTCATTTTTTAAACTTGTTTTCTGATTTCTATAAATCTTTATCATATAAACACCTAGGTAAAAAATAAATGGCCACAAAATTACTTGTGTCTGTATACACTAATATTGAACAATCTGAAAGAAAATTATGAAAACAATTTCATTTATAATAACATCAAAAAAGAACAAAATGCTTAGGAATAAACTAAACAAGGAAGTGAAAGACTTTATACCACAAGAAAACACTGATGAAAGATGATAAAATAGGTATTAATAAATGGAAAGATATTCTGTGTTTATAGATATGAAGAATTAATATTGTAAGGATATCCATATTGCTCAAAGAAATCTACAGATTCAATGTAATCCCTATCAAAATTCTAGTGACAATTTTTTGCAGAAATGGAAAATTTTATTTGAAAATTCATATGAAATCTCAAGAAATCCTGAAGAACCAAAACAATTTTGAAAGAGTTAAGTT